TTTTTTAAATTCCATATAAACAAATGTGTGTTTTGCGCTAAATTTTTAAAATTACCATCTCAAAAGAGTTTTTGATTATTACTTTTAAAGGCATCACAATTTCCCAGATTAATTACCATATGTTCACTTTTCTGATGAGTTTATAGTTTAACTGAGGTAATTGAGAATTTGCAGTTGAATTAACAGTTTACAGAGGTAATTGAGAAAGTGATAATTCAAATGATAGAGAGATGGCCATAACTAATCTACACAGTCATTCACTACTATTTGTCAAATGCTTATGATAGCAATACATTGGAGAGATAGTGGTGAACAAAACAGAATCCAAACTTCATGGAGGTTATTATTTAGTGTCAAAGAGAGGCATTTGGTAGTTATTTATACAAAAGAAATAGGTACTTTCAAACCAAGTAATATACTAAGAAAAACAAATGAATATTACTGAAAGAAATCTTAATGTGTACTTCATTTAAATTGGGGCTTGTCAGTAAAGGATTCTCTGAAGATATGATAGGATAAATTACCTAAAAGATATTGTAGATTTATTCAGGTAAAGAGCTGGAGGAACATTTCAGGCTGAGACAAACACATACAAGGGTAAGACAATAGGAAAGTGCCTAGTAAATGCTATGGTTTAGATCAGATGTCCCCCAAAATCTCATGTGTGAGACAATTCAAGAAAGTTTAGAGATAAAATGATTGATTTATAAGAGGTTTATCCCAATCAGCACATTAATCCCTTATAGGGATTAACTGGGTGGCAAGTAAGGTATGACTGGAAGATGTGGGTTCCTGGGGGCCTTCCTTTGGGGTTTATATTTTGTCCTGGTGAGGACAACTTTCTCTTTCATAGCTGCTTTCCTCCAGTACAGATTTCTGCCATGGTATTCAACCTCACTACAGGACCCAAGAAATGGAGCCGGCTATCTACGGACTAAGACCTCTGAAATGATGACCTTACAAATAAACTTTTCCTCTTCTAAATTGTTCTTGTCATGACTTTTGGTCACAACAACAAAAAAGCTGACTAAAACTAAGTTTCAGGAAAAGGTTTATGTGACTAAAATATAGTGAAGGAGAGAGGAAAAGTTATACACAATTAAGCTAGATTGGGAAAAGGTCATATCTTGCAAAACTTTTGGCTGTGCTAGGAATTTTGCATTTGATGTGCAAGGGAAAATTATGGAAGAATTTTGAAATGAAAATAAGATAATATTATCAGTGTTTTTAAAATATTGCTTTGGCTGTTGAGTACAAATGGATTGGAAGGAGACAAGAAAGAAAATGGGTAGCATATTAGGAACTTGTGCCCAATGGTCAAAAGATAAGATAGTAGATTGAACTAGAATGATAGTAATGACAACAGAAATGGAGAAAAGTGGTTAGATTTAAGATATGTGTTAGAGGCAGTACTGAGAGAATATGCTAATGAGCTGATTTGGCTTAGGAAAGAATGAGAAAACAAGATTTTGATACTGTTATCTAGCTGGTTAATAATTGATAGTGTCTTTGATTAGAAACCATGATGAAAGAGCTGATATTGGGGTACTGAGACATTTTTGAGATTTAATAATTCTGTGGTGTTCTAGGTATTTATACCTTATTATCACTTAGCCCTTTGCCCCAGTCTTTTGCTCCATGAAAATCTTGACATAGATTATAGTGTTCCTGGATCTAAGATGCTACATTTAGTCAAGGTCAAATGAAAAAGCATAATGAATATTTTAAACTAAAATATTTACTATTTTAGACTGTCTGCTCCAATATTACAAAACAGTATGTTCTTAGTCTCCAATTAAAAAACTTGGAAGACAGTAATCAGCCAAGAACATAGTATTATGGCTAAACTTAGTGAAAAAATGAGTCTGCTTTACAGAGTATACTGCACATAATATTAACTTTTTTATTCATTAAGATTTCAGGTTTTCTCTCTCATATTGAATGCAAATTTGGTGGGAAAAAAATTTATGCTGCATTTATCTCAAACTCATTTAAAAGAGAACTTATAAATTTTTGGTCATTTACTACTTGACAGTGAATGAGAGTTTTGAATATACGAGGAGGGAAAATGGATCCAGGAAAAGGTAGTGGGGTAGAAGCCATGGTTTGCCACAGAAATCTTCTAAGACAGAATCAAAAATCTACAGGAGTAGAAAACACAGCCTATCACTTTGGGCTAAAATAGGTGGCCCAGAGTATTCATAATTTCTACATTATAATTGAGCAATAGGATCACAGCATATAAAAACAATGTAGGTAGGGTAATGATAGCAACAATAATGAATAGCATTCATTGATATGTTTCAGAAACTATATTAAATGTTTTCCTTATATTAATTACATGAAACCCTTTGAGGTAAGTACACTTTTATCATCATGTTTGAGAATAGAACATGAAGCTCTAAATCATAAGTAATTTCACCAAAGTTACATAGATTGTAAATGGGAACATGAAATGGTCAGATATATGAGTCCAGGAGTGTAATTTTCTGCCACTGTGCCACACTGCACCAGCACACAAAATGATGAAACTTTAGTGCCACAAGATAGAAAGAAAAAAAATGAAAACATTATTTACGTTGGTTGCCAAATATTGTTAAACAATCCAAAAGAGGAAAAAAATGTCTCTGTTATGTTAAACCATCGATTTACTATATAGAACTTCTGAAGACAAAGCTGACTACTTACCGCAATGTAAAACTATTTTGAGATTTTGATTAATGTAATTTCTTACAAATCTGCAGGCATTTGAATTTCACACTGTAGCTCCAGTTTTTGTGAACTTCATCCTTGTTTTCTCCTTCAAAATTTGTTTTAATAATGACGGACATTCATTTTCTTTCATCTTTGTTTTTGTTGCTCACCCTTGTTCTTAAACCACTTTGGTTGAATACTTTGATGATCTTTTCTAACACAAATTATGTGTTGATACGTGATTCTTCATTTAAAACTGTTTTACTTGAGTTTGTAAAAAACACTTTAAAAAATGAGAGAATTCACCTCAATTTTGGTGGAGTTATAGATGATATAATAATAATTGCATAGTTATATAAACTTCTAAAAAGGTTTCAGATAAAATGAAGAATGTCAATTTTTCCTTCTCATCCTTTAGCAACCCATCTGTTATCCACTCTACCTCTATAACTATGTATTCTCTTTCTCTTAGCAGCAATGTGTTGGCTCTCATTTGTAGTGTCCTTAACAATACCTGACTGAACTGAGTTATCAGCAATGAATAAGCTTTTTAATATAAGATGAGGGGCTAGGATTGTGGCTCAGCGGTAGAGTACTCACCTAGCATGTGCAAGGTCCTGGGCTCAATCCTCAGCATCACATAAAAATAAATAAATAAAGATTTTTTTAAAAAGACAAAAGGGACATTATAATTGATAGGGGAAATGTATACAGTATACAGGAAAAAACTTGAAGGAAACATGAAAAATTGGCGTGGCAGTGAATGCTAATAGGAGATGAAGTTGATAGTCTGGGACCAAATTCTGAGTCTATGCCATGTAAAGAAATATGAAAAGGTACAAGGCTAATGGCAAACCATTGGGAGTATATTTTTCTTCTGTATTCAGGTGCTTCTTGTACATCCTTGTCCTTTTGTTATTATTTAGGCTGAAAAACAAAACTGGCCATATTTGACTTTTTGCATATTCATTTGTAGCACATTTCTAGAGTTCAGTCCCTTTAATAGCGTAACTGTGGTTGTGTATATGTGAAGTTGTACTTTGTCATGAAGAAAGCCATGATTAATTCAAAGGTAGCTTCTTTAAGTAGAACCTTTGAAGAAGATTATCAAGCAATTAAAAAATGCAAACAACAACAAAAAATTTATTCAAGAAAAAAACATGCATGTCCACTACTGAAGCCACGGGGATACTTTTTCTAAAAGAGATTTCATCTTTTGTGCCTGTGCAGTTTTCCTCTATGCCAAAGAGCAATATATCATGATCAAGGGACTGCCACAAGTGGAGAAAAGCAATTACAATTATACACAGTTGTCCCAAATCCCTTCTAAAATAATCCAGATTTACATAGATTTATTTTTGGAATTGACAGAATCTTAACAGGACCATTTGAAGTGAAGTGGTATGCAACTCAGACCCTGTCTCTAAATAAAATTTTTATTTAGCCCTAGTTTGTAAATAGGGATGAGATGTGGGTCGGTGGTCAATCGCCCCTAAGTTCAATCCCTAGTACCTGCCCCCCCCAAAAAAAAATGAAAAAGGTATTGCAACACGTGATTAGTTATTTCATGAGTATAGTGTGTGTGTCAGGAGTGGTGGAGAGAGAAAGATATTGAGAGACTGGTATTTATTTGGAAACATTTATTAAATTGGACTAATTGTATATATAGAATTTCACTCCAGAGCAACAATTTCTGAGAATAATTGTCTCGTTCAGCACTGTCTACTTTCAGAATGGGAGTCTCTGCTTCAAACTAAATTGCTCTGTAGAATTTTGCCACATTATTTGATCAAAGACCTGCCCTTCTCCTGAGACAAAGAATGTTGTCTATTACTGGCCCCATGCTGAGAGACCAATAGAAATGTGACAGACTTGATAGAAACTATGTAGCAGACAAAAGCCTGTCATCAGTCTTAGTGAGCTTGGGATGTTCACGGTTCTGATAAATATTGGTTTTATTCTGTGGAGCCCTGTAAATATTGTTTGTAACAAGTATTTGTTTTTAAATTATGGAAGTTTTAAACAATTAAAAAATGTGGCTATGACAGGATGTGCTGAATGTAATTCCATGCATTGTCTGCCCCACCCTCTCTCAATCACAAGTGTATGGAGATCAGGACTGGTGAAATGGCTACTCTGCTTCCTAAAGTCTAAAGGTCTCAATACTTGTCACTTTAACTTTACCAAATAATAAGAGATGATTGATTTAAACAAACATCTTTGTGGTATATTGGAAAGTTCTTGGGTAAAACATGGCTAGGTCAAATCTTCCCATATTCTAATTAATGTTTACTTGATCTTATTAGGAGCATGGCATTCCTACTGACATGGGCTATGCAGTGGCTCCTCATCATTCAGGTGTCTACCCTGTACATGTACAGCTTTATGAAGCCTGGAAGAAGGTTTGGAATATTAAAATCACCAGCACTGAAGAATATCCACATCTGAAACCAGCTAGATATCGGAGGGGCTTCATCCACAAAAACATCATGGTGAGCTTCTTCTGGTATGCATTGAGTACAACTAAATCTTCCAGGCTTACATTTCTCATTTGAAGCAGTATAAGAAGAGAGAAAAAAAGTTAAAAGCATAAATGTAAGAAAAGCTCTATGCTGTAGAAAGCACATTTGTCATATCTAAGCAAAGGATTTCTCAAAGTCACTTCTTTTCAATTCTTCAAATCTATTTATTTATTTTTCTACTGGTACTATGGCTGGTAAGCCAGCACTGATGTGACAATGTAAGACAGTATTACATCAAATTGTCAAAAAGTTTTAGAAGCCATCATTTCTTCAAAAAGTTATTTGGTAGGTAAAACTGACACCAACCTGATATATGCACCATCTCTTTTATAAGCCAGTTACACTGAATTTTTTCTTACCATGGCAAGCTAAAAATAACTAATCTATTTGCAGCAAGAAGCCACATGTAAGATCCTACATAATTATTAACTGAGTATAATACAGAGAATAAATGACAATGTTAATTAAATCATTACTATCAATTGCCTAATTCTCTCCAGAGCTTCCTGTTTTGTTTTGTTACTTTTATTCACTGGGCAAATGTATATTGTCAAAATATTCTGCAACCTTATACTTTGCAGGATGCCCCCCAAAGGAAATATTAAAAACCTTAATTTTTCTCAAGTACCAAGAAAAGTAACAGTGAAGATAACAATGGATCTACTAATTTAGACTCACATACTGGGAAGAAAGACTGAAAATAACATGATGTGATGAGCCACTGCAACTCTAAAGCTTATATGTTTGAACAGATATCTTTGTTTTAACCAAGGTGTAACTGACTTTTTTAAAGACAGTTTTCTAATGTCAGTAAAAATTACAGGGGAAATGACTTTTAACTTGGATCAGCTCACATCTTGACATTTCTCTCAATAAAAAAAAAATGTTATAAATGCTAGATGGAGATATAATGGTCACATTTTATCCCAGCCTGCCCTTCTTTGTTATTTGAAATGAACTTACTGCCCCTCAAGTTGCCAGTTTTCCGACCAGAAAGTTTAAAAGCATTCAATACTCCCTGTCATTTTAAAATTGTAGACAGTCTTATGACAGTGAAATTAATTCTCTAAAGACTTTATTTAATGTTTTTCTGTTTTATTTCTGTTTCAATACTGAAAGAAAACTTGCTGGGATATGTCTCTTGAGAAATGTTCATTTTCTTTTTCTCCTGAAAAAATATTTTACCTCTATTATAAATGCATGAATCTTGCAGGTAATAAAGCCTTTAACAGATTTTGTGTTTTGATAGAACTATCCCTGTGGTCCCACTTTTGCATGGAAACTTTCTATTTTGGTTGATAGGCTCTTGGATGAGAGTTTTCTAGTGAGCAATGTTCAGAAGGCAGTTGATTATGCAACAAGAGAGACACGACACTTCTAGGAGCCAGCCAAATACAAATACAGGTGGAGACCACAATAGCCAATATGCCCTCATAGTAAGAGACTATACCAAAAAAAAAAAAGGAACTGAGGAGTGATCTCTAAATTCCATCAATAATTCCTTCTCTAGCACAATAGAGCCATTTCAAGAAACATCTTCAGTGTCTTGTATTTTGTATTCACTAATCAGAACAGTGGCCTCTGACCCTTATCAAACTCCCAATTATCTCTTTAACCTCTTGTGGTGGTCCTTACATTCTCCTAGGGTTTATGGTGATGTTTCTACTTGCATCAGGAATAACCCTTAGTTGCAAGGTAAAGCCTGGCCTTTCCTCTTCAACAAATCTTATTTATTTATTTATTTACATTTTTCTCCATTTAGTATAGAATTATCTGAGCAATAAATTCTCAAGGACAGCTCTGTAGGCATTCTGTAATTTTTCAAGTAAAATAATCAAGTGAAAGCCTAAAAGTGATTTAGTTAGTCACATCCTTGTAAAATGTAACACAACCTGGTATATAATCACATGTATTTTCTTATTTAACTTTTGAATATTTCTTTTAACTTGATGTATCTTAAATTTTTCAAGAGTAGAAAACGTATCTTTTTATTCTCATATGGATTAGAATTCAGTTTAAATAATATTTTAAAAATAAATTATATATATTTATGTATGAAGACTTATCTTTGCATATTTATATATATATATATATATATAGAGAGAGAGAGAGAGAGAGAGAGATACATTTTATATTTTGCTATATAAAGATATCTTTATATAGAAAGATAGCTATCTATCTTTAATTTCCAGGAAATGATATTTTTAAGAATCATTAGGAAATATATTTAATTTAATCATACTTCTTTTTTTAGTGCTTTTTTGGTGTTGTTGATTTTGTGATTTTGTGCAGTTTTATGACATTGTATAAAAGCTTTCAAACAGTCATCACCAAATGATGACTCTCTGTGATTTAAACTTGTTCTTTAAGCTATTGTTTACTTAAACTACTAAGAAAACAACAACAGAAGAATTAGTATACTTGTAAAGTTTTGCAAAATATGGAAAGTCCTGAAAAGGCTATGTTTTGAGAGCATATACTGAAAAAAGTTTGCTTTAATAGTTAAGACAGTAAAAATGAAGATCTAGGGCTGGGGATGTGGCTCAAGTGGTAGCCTGCTCGCCTGGCATGCATGCAGCTGGGATTCGATCCTCAGCACCACATACAAACAAAGATGTTGTGTCCACCGAAAACTAAAAAAATAAATATTAAAAAAACTCTCTCTCTCTCTCTCTCTCTCTCTCTATCTCTATCTATCTCTCTCTCATCTCTCTCTCTCTTTAAAAAAAAAAAAAGACTGGGAATATAGTTCAGTGATAGAGCTCCCCTGCGCAGTCCCCTCAACAACAACAAAAGGCCCAAAATCCCCACAAGAGCCAGGTGTCAGCTCATGCTTTCAATTCCAGCTGCCTGGGAGACTGAGATGAAAGGACAGCAAATCAGGGCTAGCCTGGGGAACTAAGGGAGACCCCCTTCTCAAACAAAATAACATAGTCTGTAATGTTAATCTAGCTACTTAAAAAACAAACAAAAACAAAACAAAAAAACTTCCATACAATAAAATATGCCTAGGATAGTTGTTATACAAATAACAAAAAGGTTTAATATGTGTAGACTTAAAAGGACATGAAAGAGTCAGATCATGAGAGGAAGTCTCAGTGGTCAATAAACACGAAAGGTGTCTAATCTCAAGGAAATTAAGTTAAAACATCAAATAGCATTTCAAAACTAGTAACTTGGCAGAAATTAAAAATACTAAGGATGAGAATATGAAAGCCTGGCTTGGTGGGGCAAGCCTATAATCCCAGCGACTCAGGAGACTGAGGCAGAAGAATTGCAAGTTCAAAGCCAGCCTCTACAATTTAGCGAGGCCCTACGCAACTCTGCAAGACACTGTCTCTAATAAAATATTTTT